CATTCCAGATCTACCCTCACCTCAGTGGTTTCTGGTGATCTCATGTCGATGCTTCTCTTTAATGAGGGTCTGCTGTGTTATTAAAGGTTGTGCTAAAAGTTAGAAAAAATAAGCATGCTCTTGGAAGATCAAGTTCTCAATTACAAAGTTTCAAGGAGGGTACAGTGCTTTAAAATAAGTGTGTAAAAATAATCAGACTGTCAGTTGTCACCTGCAGATCTCAGACTTCCAAGAAGAAACAAGGTCTTGTAAATAAAGTGTATATAGGTAGATGATCTATACTCTTGCATTGTATGAGTTTTTTCTTTCAAATATTCATCTACTTACACCAATACCTAAGATACTTAATTTGTCTGGAGGTTAAAACTGGAGGAACACTTCTTACCTTGGAACAAGTGCATTTTGGTGGATAAGAATAAACTTGTCCTTTGTGGTACAGAAAACCTCTTCTCCTTTGGTTTTTTTTCTCTCCTACACAGGTATCATTTGCTTTTAAGGATTTGTTTTCACTTTAAAGATTTGAATTAGGAATTCTATTCTTTCCCCGACTCTTGAATCCTTGAACAGGCACTACACGATTAGAAACTCTCATCACTCTCTGCTTTCTCTTCTCCTTCCTATTTATTTCACTGGAATTTAACAGCAGGAGAACCAGAAACCTAACCCTTAACTTTTTGTACTTTGGTATTCCATGTAATTGTGGAGAGCCTTTTAACAGAAGAGGAAGTGTGTGTGTGTGTGCATGTTTATAGAAAGAGGATGTGAAAGCAATAGGGCTGGGATCCTTTGGGAGGGACTGCTGGAGAGTTCACATCTGCTGGGGTTTGAGGCTCTGCAGATAACTTGGTGACCTGTGTTCCATTGCACCAGAGCCTTGTAAAGTTCTGCTTACATTACAAATGCAAACGGATGTTAAAAGAATTAAACCTCCATTAAATGAGTTACTGTAGCTCAAAGCTACTTCCCCCACCCCCAAACATCTGGGAAATATCTGGGGTAGGGCTTTATGTAGAAAATTAGTAATTTGGTCATAGCTAACCACAAATTGAAGAGCCTGTGCATCAGCTTACTGTAGGAATTGTGGTGTGTTTTCTACCCTCTAAGGTGGGCAGAGTGGAGAGGATGACCATCACTGGATTAATTGTCCTGTTGAGTTTGCTTTTTAAATACAGGAACTTTGTTCTTTTTTTGCAGCCACTGATCTTCTTTTGGCTTGGAATCCCATTTGTCTGGGCCTGGTAGAGGGAGTCATTGGTAAAGTTCAGCTTCACACAGGTATGTGGTTAGTTCTGTTTTGATGGGTTTTTTCTGTTATGGTTGTTTTTTTTTTTTTTTAAATTTATTTTGTTTACTGCTATATTTGTTTTAAAGTCTGTGGTATTACAAATAATAGTGCATAGCTCAAATGGAATGATGTGGTATTTATACACTGGAGGAGTACTCCCCAAATATCTGAACTTGTCACAGTGATTATATTATAGCTGCAGGTGCAAATTCCCTCTGTTCTCCAGTCTGTGTGTTTTGGTTTGACACTGGATGTAAAAATAGAGAACTGCATTTGCAAATAGTAGAAACTTGTATTTGAGGTCCTATCTGAGGCTCAGTGTGAGATTTATAAAATTCTTAAGCCTTTCTGAATAATCCTTTCGAGGAGATTCTTGTTGTTCTACTGTGGTACAGAAACTAATGATGGAAGTTTGAACAAAAGTATAAGGCTTGAATTCTCAATGCTGTATAAAAACCTGAAGCAAAATTGCTACGTTGCTAGATGAATTTTGGAAAGCAAAAGGAATACTTAAACTTGTTTGTAGGTAAATGACAGAGCTATAAAATTAAAGCAGATGTAGAATTCATTGTTATTTTAATGATAAGCCTGTTTCTAACTGATAGTAGTAATGTTTTCCTGTAAAATAAGGTCAGTGCTCCTTTAGCTTTATCAGCTGCAAATCCCTGTAGCCACAGTAAATATTTATTTTGAAATATAGCAGCTGACACTTCTGCCAGTGGAGTTCTGGCTGTTTCCTGGCAGGTAGGAAAGGGAGCCACGAACACTTGCTGGGTACCATTCTTTGGTGAGTGCTTGGACCTGCATTTAAAGTAGTGCCTGGCAATATGAGCAATACAGGTAAAGTTTCAGCTGTGTTCCAGGAGAGCAGGATGTGCTGAAATGGATCAGATGTTTGTGCTCTGTTGAACAGAACAGATGAGTCAGGGTGGCAGTGTCAGAAATGGAGAGCAGGCACTGGTACACACCAGCAGTGCCCTTGGTCAGAGCAGTTCTGGGAATCCCAGCTCCAGAGTTCCAGTCACCCCAGGGCCTGTTCCTGACAGTGCTAGTTCAGAGCCCACCTCTCCAGGAAGTTCACCATCACATCCTCTTTCCAGTTGCACCTCTCCATCTTTGAATTTCACTGATATTTCTGTCTGTGCTCGTTCCACAGAGCTGTTCACCCACCCTTTTCAGATCCGCTGACAAGAAGTGCTTCAGACTCTGCCATCTCCCTTTCTCCTCTTCCCCCAGGTTCTCTGTGCTGTTCAGCATGTGCTGTCCATGATGAATGATGGCTGAGCTCCAGTAGTGACCTCTTCCTGCTCTGGGGAAATGCTCACTGACTGGTTTTGGAACGTGTTTTTGTTTGTGTGGAGTGTGGTGGTCTTGTTTTTTAAACCAAGCCCTCAGGTGCACAAAAGCCTTGCCCCCCTTCTCTCAAGGGAGTCTGGTGGAAAAGCCTTTCAAGGGGGAGACCAAGTGCTTTTTGGAAGGTTTTAGTTTATTGTTTGTTATGGCAGCTGAATGCCCTTGCATGTGTGCTTCTTGTGAGGTGCTTCCTCTGCTTATGAAATCTGAGTTGAAACTTTCCCCAGCTGGGACACTGTAACAGGTGTCAGCTTACTGTTGTCATGCAAATGAAGATTATCAGGTAATAAGCCTGATATCTGCTCTTCTTTCCATGTGTCCTGTGGAGCTGTTGCATCACTTGTGCTCATCCAGGCATTCCACTCAGCTGCTGCTGGGGTCTGGAAATGTTTGGTTTGGTCCCTGCCTTGTTCAGGTGACACCATCACCAACCGTTGTGATATTCTGCTATTTAGTGATGCAACAGCCCTGGAAATGATGTTTATTTTCTACCATTCAGTGTCTGAAGAAAGAGAGCCTGCAGCTATTTGTCCTTCTCTTCTGCTGCCTTGAATTGCTGACATGTGCTGAGAGGTGTTCTCTGTTAGGTGAACACAACGAGGGGCTGGCTGAGATGTCTCACAGAGATCTCTCGGAGCCTGTTGTTGTCAATGAACTCCCACTTGCTCATATTCAAATGTGGTTTGATGTTTTCCTCTGGCTGAATCCTCCAGCGGTCTGTAACAGTAACCTGTCTTCATTACTTATTCCTGTCTCAATCTTTGTCACCTGGAAACTTTATCAGCAGGAGTTGTATAAATATTTAACCTTGCTGGACCATTATCTCCAGACTTGGAGCACTGAGCTGCAGGAGCTGGGGAAATGTTTTTTTCACAGACCTGACCTGCAACAGGAGGACTTACTGCTCTGATTTCTTCTCCCCTGCCCTCAGGTTATTAAGATCAGAAAACCTAATTTGAAGTTCATTGGTGAACAGGAGTCCTGTCATTAGCTGTTATTGGAAAGGAATATTGGTGTGTTTTAAGAATGCTCAGCACATACTGACTAATGCTGGAAAATTGAAATGCCTTTTTAAGTGCTGAAGTTGCTACCAGTAAAGCTGTCACTAAAGCTGCACACACTTCAGTGTCTTGGGCACAGATCCTTCCATGCTCTGGAAAGATGTGCTCATGGCAGAAATGCTGGAGTGCTCTGACACACCCTTGGAATGTCCCTGCAAGCCATCTTGGACTGTCTGTAATTCACCATTGAAACACCCTTGCCAACATGCTGTAACTAGGGATGGGATTTAATTGACTCTTAATCTTGCAGGTTTTACTGCTTGCCTTGTGCAAAAGAATCTGTAGGGCAGCTTCTGCCAGGGAAGCAGTCTCATAGGAACCAGCAAGCTTATTTTTTTTAATTCTTTAAAGAATTTTTGACATGAGAGAGTCAGTTGCACAACCCAACATAACTGCACACTCACACTGGAGAGGAAAGTCTAGTGAAAGTACCACTTGGTTCTTCCCCAAACTGAATTTCCTTAAACATGGATGATTCTTGGTTTTGTTTTTTGTGGTTTTTTTTTGGGGGGGGGGATGGGGCAGAATTCCAACCCAAACAATAAAACCTTGATTGAATGTAAGGATGTGATTGCTTGCCATTTTCTGGCCCTTCCTAACTTGTAAGAAAATGCAGAGTAACAATGGGAATAGCAGGAAAAGGATTTTAGGATGTATTGTGGAGATGTTCCTGAAACAGATCACTGCACATTTGCTTGGTAAGATGTGCAATTAATTCTATCTTTGCATGATCTTCCCAGCTAGAGGCCAGCACATCTCCTGCATCAAGTGTCTGCTGTACAGAATATTAATTTTGTTTGTGGTCCTGGCAGGGCACATCCATACACAATGGAACTGAAGCTGCCCAGTTCCTTTCTAATTCTGGACTGGGATTTTGATGAAAGAAGGTTGTGTTCCTTTTTGTTAGAATAAAAAGTCAATCCACTAAAATGGTCAGGGCAGCCTGAAATGGAATCACTGTTGAGCAGAGACTTCTCAGCAAGCTGATCAAACATTGCAGTGCAAGAATATGCTCAGTTGTGTATCCAACTATAACCAAAGTTGGATTCCCTAGCCAGTTCCAGCAGCTTCCACTTAACTCCTTCCCTGCTGCCCCAGTTCTCCTGTTTCTTGGTCAGAGGACACTCCTGAGCAGTTGAATGTCTCTCCTTGTATCCATTCCACGAGTTTTTCCAGGGCTGTTAATGAAGCCCAGGTTAAGTGCTGCTGCCAAGGTTCCACAGCCCCTGTAAACAGGAGGCAAGTGGAGCTCTTCCTTCCCTAGCCCCAGGAAAGGAAAGCTTGTTTTTGTCAGCATGCCTGTGAATCTTGATAGAAACAACTGTTGAGCATGGGAAACGTCCCCAGGGAGATGGGACTGAGGCTCCTGCAGCTTCAGGCATTCCTTGGCACGCTGCCGGCTCTGCAGTTGTTCAAGTAAGGGAATGTGGAGTTGGTAGCACAGAATTTCTTGGCTAAAATCAAAATACTTGCAAAAAGCAGCGTTTTTAGTAAACTCCTGGACGGTTTAAGAAAAGTTGCTGCAAAGGCATTTGGGAGAAATGAAATGCTGGATTGTTTGGGAAGTGTTGGAGGAAAACAGCAGTGCTGTGCTGACAGTGTGGAAGCAACAGAGGAACTGCATTTCCATTTCAGTGGAATGGGAGGTAAGAGCTTCCTTGAGATATCCTATTTTAAAGCAGTTGTTGCCATCTGCTCTGCCATAGTTCATAAAGCACTACAGATGAACAGTTGATTCTAAGAGGTGATTTAAACCTCGCTGGAATGGCACACAGGTGTGGTGTTCTGTGCACCCCATCCCTCACACATGGACCAGGCAATTGAGTTGTGTGGAACTGCCTTTTTTTATTGTACTGCAGGAGCACGTATTCTGTGCTGGGACTCACTTATTTAGATATTGCTGGTGATTATAATGTGCTGCTTTTATGGCTATTGTTGAAGCTTTTACTTCAGGGCATACTTTATCTGCATAATTACTTCCTGATTGTTTGCTTTTGATCTGCTGGGGAATTCTTGTTTTCTTTGAATGTTCTGTGGCTCTGGCTATGATATAAAGAGTTTTGAAATGCACACCAGGATGACATTTGAGTGCATTTTAAAAGATGACAAAGGGCTACAGAACTGCTTGGCTGTATTAAGCTCTTCAGTTCTTGTTTGCTGTTACCAGGGTTTGTCAATATGAGGTCAAGTGAAGAGTAGGCAGAGATTTTTCTTTTCCACTTTTATTACTATCTGCTTAGAAATGCCTTTCTTTATCTTATGCTTATTTCCAGTAGAGCTCTACTGGTTAATTCACTGGAGCTCTAGATGATTTCCTTGTTTAAAAGAGTATCTATCTGGTTTGTTGACATACACTGCTGATCTCACAGGAGCAAGTTGTGTGGCCAACCTGCTGTAGTTGGGAATAGATGAGATTAGAGGACTCCCCACCAGGAATATCTGTCTGGATGCCCTATTGTATTCCCCTTCTGTTAAGCTTGGATTGCCCTGGGCTTCCAGAGACTGGTTTTTTGCCTCCTAAAAAGCAATCTTTTTAGATGAAGTGATGGGCATCTTCATCTGTTGCTGGTGTTTTGGGCAGCATTTCAATTTCTCCTTTTAAAAAGGATTTTCTTATTGGTCTGCTCACTTGCACAGAACCTGTCCTGTTTTCCTCAGCTTCCTTTTTCCTATTTCCATGTTATTCCTGTGGTGGCTGGAGGCAAAGGCAGGTGTTCTGCAGGTCATGTGTTTGGGAAGAGTGCATTTCATTCCCCTTCCCCTCCTCCCTGGTGGGGAGGCACCCTCTGCTTCTCACAGCACATTTGTAACTGGGAGGATCTGACATTTTTGAAGGCTTCCTAATGCCCAATATAAGTAAGGCTTTTCCTCTAAAGATAGCAATGTGGAATCAGAGCAAGTGGAGTGTCACAGCACACACTTGTGTGTTTGCAATGACTGTTCCTTTCCTCCAGATTAAAAGGCACTGCTGGGTTTTTCTGTGTTTCTCTCAAGCACTCAGAGGATAAAATGCTGTTTAGAATTTCCTGAGCAAGGAGAACAGGCTTTGTATTTGCTATAAAGCTGCTAAATAGACTTTTCCAAGGCTGTGTGTCGTGTTCAAAGGCATAGTACATGACACAATCTGCCACCACAAGTGTGGAAGCATATTCAAGTCTGCCACAGCAGGCTTTTTATGTCTTTATATGACCTTTGCAGTTAAACCCAGTTGGTCTCTTCTCAGCTGGGAGAAATGTTAAGTGTGCATGTTTGTCTTGAAGACTTTCTGTGCCTTTTCCATCCCTCTTCACAGAACTCTTGACTCCTGAAAGCCCAGCATCCAACTAACACGCTGCTGCTGCAGCCAAGGGCTTCAAATCTAGGAATGTGCAGGCACCATTCAGCAGTCAGTGGGATGTTTGTGGCTCTGGTTCCCTGTCTCACTGCAGTGCTGATGCTGTAACTGCAAGTGTTGTAGATGAAATGCACCAGTTACCAATATCTTCAGTCATTTTTATCCCATGAGTTTCTGTGCCACTTCATGCATGTCACTGCAGGGATGATTCCTGAGGCTTTGAACACACATAAACTCTTCCTGCTGCAGCCCTTGTTTGCCTTCCAGATTTCTTAACTCACGAGCCCTGCAATCAGATGCTGCCTGTGTCTGTGCTGTTTGCTGTTTGATACACAACAGAGGGTGTAAAGGCAAAATCTTTTGTTCCTGTCTGAGCTCCAGCTGTTCCTTTCAGATTTTACTGCCACTGGTGCCATTGGTGGGGATGTGCTTCATCCTAGAGGTTGCTGGTGGCTGCAGATGAAGCAGGGCTAGCTTTACCTCTAGTGAGTAAGTCTATGAAATAGTTAATCTTACTGTATTACAGACTGAATAAGTATTTTTTAGGTTTTTTTTATTGCAATGCATACTGACAAATCACAGCAATGGTGAATCATCATTCACTGGGGTCTTCTGGTCAGATGGTTCCTGGCAGGGCTTTTACACCAGGGAGAAGCTTCTGGCAAACTTATCAAAGTAAATGCCTGACAAGACAAATAAAAGCATCTACTAATCATGTTTTTCCCAGATCTACCATGGTGGCTCCTTTTAATTCGTCAGAAAGCTTTGATTGGCAAACTCCCAGGAGATCACGAGGTTTGCAAAATAACAAAGATTGCCGTGATTCCACTTTCTGAAACAGAACCTCAGGACCTGGAGCTGGAGGTATGACTGTCCCCAAGGAATTCTGACCTTCCCCCTTCTGCCTCAGGGAAATCTGAATGTCAAATAAAACTTAAATGCCTCTCCCCTGTTATTCCTGGTATAAGCAGGCATACTGATCATTTTGTGCTTTTTTTAAATAACATTTTTTGATTAAAAGTATTTTTTAAACAGAAATCACAAGTTCTGCTATGGAGGGAAGTTACAGTAAAATTGCACCTCAATTTCACAAAGCTTATTGGGAATACAACACTGAACTAGGAGAAAGGATTTTTTTAATAGATGCTCTTGCTCTCCTCAAGTTTTAGAATCTTAATTGGTTATAGAATAACCAAGTGAGTAATCCCAATTTGCACTGTAACTTGGGTAAGGAAACTGAGGTGGGTCTGGATACTCAGGCCATGGCAAACTGAGGCATCCTCACAATCACAGGAGAAAGTGCCTTTATAAAAAACAGTGAGAATTGGGCTCTGGATAGAAAACTGTGTGTTCCCCTGTATTTCAGAGTGTGTCCCTTAGCTTTGTGAATGTCCAGGTCTTGATTTTTGTAGACTTTAATTAAATTTTTTTTTAACTTTGTAAAGAGTATCTAATTATTGGCTTTAATTCAATGTCATTATTTAGCTTTGCAAAAAGCACCACTTTGGGATAAACAAACCAGAGAAGATAACACAGTCCCCAGATGACACAAAATTTCTGCTGAAGACTCTTACCCAAATTAAATCAAATGTGTCTGCTCCAAATAAAAAGAAGGTAAAGTTTTCCACTGTTGCCTTATGTTTTTTTCATAATGTTTGCTTTATAATTCCAAGGTTGTGATGGATGATCCAGTGGAGTACTAAGACCTTAAAGAACTAGTGAAAAACTGCACAGTGTGGAACTACTATCTTAATGCTCAGTTGAATTTTTTTGATTTTATTGAGCTGTGGCAATTCTATGATTTTTCATTTTGCAATTACCTAATCTTGGCAGAATTACTGATAGAGTTACTTCTTACCAGGATTACCTTCTACTGAGATTCTCAGCTTCTACAATTGCTCTGCAGAAGCATCTCTCTTACAACATAGAATTGGAGACAAAATTTGGTGCCCAGTTCCTCAGAGAACACCACACAATACAGTGTCATCAAAACGCTTTTAATACAATAATGGCTTGGCTTAAGAAATCCAAACAATATTTATTAAAATTAGAATGGGTGGATGCAGTATTTCTTAAACTCTTGAGATTGAAACAGACTGCTTAAATGTTCAGCTTTGAATGGTAAAAGCAATAACCTGGTATTTCTGGGGATGTCCCTTGTGTTTATTATCTGTGCTGGGATTTTTAAGAGCCTGCTCCTCGATGGAAAGGGTTTGTCCTACAGAGTTAGAAATAGCATTTAGCAGATATGGCCTGGAGTCTTTTTCACTCACAAAGAAATAAAAAGCCATTTTTTTTCTTTCAGATTAAGGAAAGCAAAGAGAAAGAGAGGCTGGAGAAGAGGTTATTGGAGGAGTTGTTCAAAATGTTCATGGATTCCGACTCCTTTTACTACAGCCTGACCTATGACCTGACAAATTCTGTGCAGAGACAGAGCACGTGTGAGAAAGCAAACCTATCCCTGTGGAGAAAAGTGAGTGTGTTGTTTGTTCTTCCATCTGGCAGGTGGATGTGCTGTCCCACGATGGCTGTGTCCAGACTCACACTGCTGCAGCCTAAAGCAGCTGAACATCCTGCCCTGTAACAGCTGCAGGGCAAGGAAGGGAAACAAAATCTGCAGCAGTGTGATTTGAGCTGAACTCTGATGAGACCTGGGTGTCCACCTGCAGAGAATAAACAAGAGAGCTCTGGTGTTCTTACCAAAGGAGTTCCAAAACCTGCCCTTTTTTGTTTTCAACAGGTTGATGACAGATTCTTTTGGAACAAGCACATGATTGAAGATCTCATCAGCATTGATGTGAGTTTTTTATTTCTAGTGTGTGTTATGAGAATCATTCTTCAGTTTTAGTTGAAATGTTTGCTTAAGGCCTCAGAAAGTTTGCTTAAGAACCTGCTTGGCAGACAGGTCAGGGTTAGGACTGTGCCTTCTTTAAGCTGAGCAACTGGCATTGCCTTCTTCCCCCAGCCTTCTGGTTAGCCTGGGATGGTTGCTAATGAATGAACTTCAACTGAATTTAGAATTTTATTATTGTAAAACAATGTAGAATAACTTGGTGTGATATGTTTGTGCTGACTTCTGAAGGTAAATTAAGTTGTAGTTATCTGTGGAAGGGATGATCCCTGGACAGAGCTGAGCTTGATAATAAGGAGCAGCCAGAAAAGAAGTAACTATGAATTTCAGAGTTTCCTTGAGATAAGACTTTTGTTTTCCATGGTGGGGAATAGTGTTTTCTCCTTAAACAGAGCAGCTGATCAATGTAAAAACAGTGTAGAACAAGTTGTTCTGAACAGCTATTCAGAGTAAAGAAAACATTTCCATTTCAGATCATAGAACCACCATTCTGTCCTCAATATATGATCTTCCTTCATTTGAAACTAAACTTGGAGATAAAGATTAAGTTACTAACTACAGTTTGCCAGTTTAGGCCGAGTCTTATGTTCTTTAAAGATGACAGCAGACATCTTCCTTTATGCCCTGCATCTTTTTCAGTAATAATTTAACATAATCAAATGGTTGCAGGGTAAACCTGGCTCCTCTGAAAAGTTGTGTATAATGCAGGAGTTTTGCTAGTTGTGTTTTTCATGTTCTAAGATATCAGTGGATAACCTTGGGGAAAGAGCTGACCATTGAGGAACTTAGATTTCAATTCTATTTAAGAAACTGATGTTTTAGGGTGGCAGAGCCCTGAACCAGTTGATTTTAAAAAAAGAAATTTTAAAGAATTGCATGATTTTCTTCTGTCCATAAATAGCTGAGAGCATAGGAGGGCTTTTTGCCTTGCCTTGATTCAGCTTGCTCCATCTCCACAGAAAGATCTGAAGTTGTTTCTTTCTTCCTTCTGATGGAGGAAAAATGCTGGTACCACTTACAGAAATAAGTCAAGGACATGGCAAAAATTTCTTAAAATACGAAAAGCGTGTGAAGCAATTGTTTTATAAACATGAGAAAGGGCAGAAATAATTGCAGGTGATGTAGAACCAACAGGAATGTAAATGTGGTTTTTGTAACCTCCAGAATGCTGAGGTGGACTTCTGGATCATACCCATCATTCAAGGATTTGTGCAGATTGAAGAACTGGTTGTAAACTACAGCGAATCTTCTGATGATGATAAGAGCAGCCCTGAAACCCCTCCTCAGGAGCCGAGCTGCGTGGATGACGTCCATCCCACCTTCCTGGTGGCGCTCATCTCCCGCCGCAGCCGGCACAGAGCTGGTAGGCAAGCAGTTCCAGGCCTTGGGGTGTTCCTGAATCTGGAGAGGGATGCACAGGGGAAACCCTGAGAGTGCTGTGCTGGTGAGCAGATGGACAGCCCCTGTCAGGTGTGCACTGCAGCCCCCCAGCCTGCAGGAGCAAAAGGCTGCAGTGCCCCAGCACTCCATTGTGTCCAACTTTCCTACACAGTCAGGTTTTCAGCATGTCAAAAAAACCAAGAAAAAACCCGTGGTAAGCTTACCCTGGTATGGGACTGACCTTTGTACCACTGCTCACCTCTATTTAATGCAGTTCCCAGGAACATTATTTGTCAGAACAACTTGGAGTAAATCCTTCAGAGTTTCAGGGTAGCAGCTAGTTTACAGTATGCCTTTTTAATACTAAATTGTCACACAGATACAGGAACTGAACTGCAGAGGGGAAATTTGTTATTCATTTGCTTTTGCTGTTAATATCACTGTGCTCATCTGATTGCAAGTCCAGAGCACAAACTGTGTAGAACTTTCTCTCTTGACACTAAAAGATTCTTTTGATTAATTGATGCAATATTTTGAAGAATAGTTATGGGATTGTGTGTTTGGTTAATTCTCTAGTACATACTTTTAGCCAAGAGTCCAATGTGCCTTTATTTCTGAAATACTGTAGTTAACTCCCCCAAAAAACCCCCAAACCAGTTGCCTTTGAGGCTCATGGAAATACTGAGCACTAAAGTAAAACTTTATGCTAAATGGGACAGAACAGGAGAAATGTATCATTTAGGGTGGACTAGAGATTATCTTTGACTTTGTAGTGCTGCTCATAATATGTCAGGAAATAAACTTTATCCATACAGTCAAAATAACTTCCGAGGAATAAACTGGGACAGGAGTGACTTCTCCCACTGATGATGGATTTTGGCTAGAGCCTTTGTCCTGTGTTAGTGTTGTCAAAACCAGCAACAAAAGTTACTAATGTTTAGGACAAGCACTTAAATATGCCCTGACCGTTTCCCTCCTCCCAGGAATGCGGTATAAGAGAAGAGGTGTTGATAAAAACGGAAACGTGGCAAATTACGTGGAGACAGAGCAGCTGATTCACGTTCACAACCACACTCTCTCCTACATCCAGACCCGAGGCTCTGTGCCTGTTTTCTGGAGCCAGGTGGGATACAGATACAACCCACGGCCCCGCCTGGACAAGAGTAAGTGTTTGGGTGGGACCCCACAGGGTCAGAGTTCCCTTGGGACTCAGCTTTGGGAAGAGCTGCTGACGTGGGGGTGTGGTGCACAGCTGAAAGGATTAAGCAGGCTTATTAAAAATTACATTTTAGTCCCATCTCCTCTGCACAACAAGCAGAATTTAGCAGTGGTGTTTGCTGCACACCGTGGTAGAACAGCAGTGTTGAAGCTGAGCAGATTGAAACGCCTTTGAAAGGAGTTTTGTACAATGTGTCTTCAGTGAAGCTGTCTTGGTTTTCCAGAGTGCAGATTTGGGCACAGTTTAATACATCAAACAGGACTTGAGTTAGTGCTGAACAGGCTGTTTCTGTCTGACACTGCTCTGCCTTGCAGGTGAAAATGAAACTGTGGCCTGTTTTCGTGCACACTTTGAAGAACAGCTGAAAAACTACAAAAAGCAGGTGAGTGCTGCCTGATAAAATAGTCATCTCATGAAAATGCAGGGGATGAAGGTTAATGCTTTTAGTTTGATTTTTTTTGTGATGTGTTTTGTTTTTTTAGAAGCTCTGTCGACAGTTGTAAGGTTGTATGTAAATAGAACTTTATTAGGTTTCGCAAGTGTCCTTGTAAGCTCACTCTAAAAAACAATAACTTGTGGGAATGTGTAAACCCTGTTTCTGTGTTCCTGTCCTGGGAACTCAGAGCTTCTCTGGGTTAAAGTTTGTGTAGGCAGGTAACTGTTAGAGCTCATCTGTCATGGGTACAATCCAGCAAAGACTGTAACTTCAGCAAGACTACCTGCAAATCTTATGACTCTTGAGCTGTTTGTTATTGCATGGTATACACATCTGAGATGACAAATGTTAACTAACTGAACTTTTGAACAGGTTATTATTAACTTGGTGGATCAAACAGGCAGAGAGAAGATTATTGGAGATGCTTACCTTAAACAAGTTCTTCTCTACAATAATGCAAATCTGACTTATGTTTCTTTTGACTTCCACGAGCACTGGTAAGAAACCTTTGGAAAATGACCCTTTGCATCTTGTTCTGTTAGCATGAGAGGAGAGTAGAAAGGAGGAGAAAACACTGTTATTATTGTTTCTATTTCTGCATGGAACACTTTTAAACAGGAAGAATACCTTTTGTAAACTAGAGCATGATAAAATGTGAAGTTTGGGTAACCAGGCACTGCTGTTTGTCATCTTGTGTCTCTGACCTGTTAAATTTGCAGTTATTTATTGGGCAAATCTAATTTGTTACACATTCTGAGCAGGAGAGTTCCCTCAGACATGCTGTGAATGTAAAGCTGTGGCTGACCTGCTTTGAATTCTTCTCTACTTCTGTTTCTCTTTATTTTTTCTATAAAGATACGATGGGTTCTTTCAGGACCCAATGGTTTTTCACTAGAAAATACCCCAGGTTTTAATTGATTGCAGCCTGAGCAGTTGTGTTTTCCTGGCTCCCCTCTGATGCTGCCATGTCCTGGGGCAGCGTCACTTGCCCTAGCATTTAATCTGCCCCACAGGCCTGCATTTCTGCTTCCCTCAAGCTGCCTTTGTGTGGGAGTCGGTACAGGCTCTAAACTGGTTTAATCTTCATTTCCAACCATAATCTAGGATTGCATCTGGCCTGGGAGAGCATTACTGACTGAGAAAGTGTGTCATCAGTAGACACTGCAGAAGGGGATGGGGGAAGGGAAACCAAGTGATGGCCTAGAGAGACTTCTCTAGGCCTGTGGCTCCCTGAATTGATTTGATATTTAATCTCTTGTTTAAGGCAGCTTTTGTTTTCATTCCTTCACTTTCCTCCTTAAAAACTTCTATAGCTACCAGGACTGTTTGTTTTTGCACCGTGAGCGTGAGTGAATCGAGAGCAATCCCCAAAACAACCTGCTGGGTGGGGCAGGAGGGGTGATACGTGTAGGGTGTTTTTTGTACAGTCACTGGTGCAGGATCCTCCTGCCCAGCTCCATCTGTAGTCACTCCTTGTGACACTGGGACTGAGGTGAGAACAGCACGTTGCATGGAATGCTGCACACTTACTCTTCCTTATGGAAGCAGCATTAGAAATGCAAAGCCTTGAGAATTTAACTATTTTTTTTTAACCTCTTTCCTTGGATTTAATGGTGAACTGTACTTTAAAAAAAATTCTGAATATTGGCTCATGTTTTGAGTTTGCTGCAGGAGAGAATGCTTGGATTAGCCAAAGCACTATCTTTGTTAATGTTACAAATAAGATAAAATAATTAAAGTCACTGCTCTAATTCAACCTAACTTTTGTGAAATTCTGCATTTTAGCCGAGGAATGAAGTTTGAAAATGTCCAAACACTGACTGATGCCATTCACGATATCATTCTTGACATGAAGTGGTGCTGGTAGGTATTTAACTCTTCTTGAACTAGCATGGAAAATTTGTTAAAAAACCAAAACAAACTAACAAACAGAAATAAAACCCCAAACAAACAAAACCAATCAACATACAGTAGATATTTGGAGGCCTTGATCTCATCACAACTGGTATGCTTTGTATTTCTTCTCTGACACCCAGCTTGTGTGTCCCAGCTTGTGTTCTGAAGTGTTGGTGCTCGAGACACATAACAAAAGATCCTCAGATTGCTGCCCAGGGCCTGCTTCATCTGACACTTTCAGGGGTTGTATTTAATGTGGAACACTCTGTACCTGACCCACAAACCCTGGAACAGCAGCCCTGTGTTGAACTCAGCAGGCATGTCTGAGCTTTGGTTTGCACTGGTTAAAGTGAACTGATGGATGCACTGCAGCCTCCAATCTGTTACTCTGATTGCTCAGTGAAATGCTGCTGCCATTTCTATTGGCTTTTCTGTCTGAAATTAAAAGCCTTTTCTCTTGAAAGCTTGTATGACATATGCCAGAGCTGAATTCAGCTGATTGCATGCCGAGTTTATGGCCCCACTAGGATTTATTTGATATCCAGGCTGGATTAAATGGAGGATAGGTCAGAACACGAGGAGTTAATTCAGAGTGGGGCGTGCCTGGGTGGTGAGTGCAACCACAAACAGTGTAAAATCTTCTACCTGTTTATAGAAGCTGATGAATTACTTCATTTGAAGTGTCTCAGTGTGCCTTTGTTCTCCTGTTGAAAGGGTTGACCAGGCTGGAGTGATCTGTAAACAGGAAGGGATCTTCCGAGTGAACTGCATGGACTGCCTGGACCGGACCAACGTTGTGCAGGCTGCCATTGCCAGAGTGGTCATGGAGCAGCAGGCACGTCAACTGGGGGCTTTGCCAAGGACCTCAGAACTTCTTGTGATTCACAGAGAAATCTGTGGGCTTGAAAAATGCTAAACTAACCTCTACTGAAAAGAATCTTTGTGAAATACTGGAGAGCTGTGAAGCTGAAAGGGGTAATATGTACAAATACAAAGCTGGAAATCGCTGCAGAACAGTGATGCCTGCTGTCCTGCTTCAGGAAGGACTGACTGTCCACATCTTGGAGAGGATTGTCGTGTTCTGATTTAGTAATTTTATGCAGTAATACAAAGTTTAAAAACAAAACACCACCCTCTAAAATCCCTCCCTGAAACAAGAGATTAAGGGACTAAAATCCAGCTAGAAGTTGGATGCTATTTTAGCTGCTTTGAAGTGAAACACTGTGATGCAGCAAGTAGGGACTGTTGTGGGATGGGGTTAGAGAAGGGATTTCCAAGCAGACTGAGGGTCCTTTCTTTAGTCATGTTCCTCTTTGCCCTGCCCCCATTTGCTTTTTGCTCTGGAATCTGGGATTGTCTTCCCTCGTGGAGGGTGAATGGCATGGAGTGTAAGACTGAGAGTTACGTGTGCCTTACCTTTGCTTTCCTTGGAACCACAGGACTTGCCTTCTCTCCTCTGGAAACTTGGTAGGGCTTTCAGAGTCAATGAACAGCCTTGCCTCCATTGTCTTCTGACTTGCAGAGAGTGCTTCAGCATTTGGTTTTGGTTGGGAATTGTTTGCCTGTGATCTATTCCAAGTTATCCCTGCAGCTGGCCTAAGATTTGGTGACTGCACTGCAGTTATGGCTGTGCTGCTTTACCAATCCAGTGGCTAAAGTTTGTGTTGTACCCAAGGCTTTTATCCTGGGGAAACTGAAGTGCTGGTTGTCCTGAAGAGTAAGATATCTCACTTTCAGTATCAGTGTTAAGCAGTAACTATCCAAAGTGTGCAAGCATTAATAATAAACCAACAAAAGAAGCTGGTTTTTATTTTCAGACCCTTGAGGTCACGGATGCCTTTGCAATAGAGGACATATTAACTTGTTTATGCACGTTAAAGTTCTGTGGTGCCTGTCCTTTTGATGGTTCTCTGTTGAAAAATGTCCTGTATCCTGAGTAATCTACAGTAACTTCAGCTCATTTTTTTTGATGATTGGCTCCTACATTCATAATTAATATGAATGTTAATGCTGCCTCCAGCGATACGATGCTTAGCAATGAACTAGTGATTCATTGCTCACAATTAATTTCCTCTGACAAATCAGCAGAACGAGTTCCCTTTTTGGATCGTGTCAACTTTAACAATCAAACGCTTGGCAGGCGTTTCCCTTCCGTTATCGAGCTCTCACACGGGGAATGGCTTTTACCTTGGACATTTTACTAATGCACATGTCCAATTGCAGCTCAAAAAGCTGGGTGTGATGCCTCCTGAGCAGCCTCTGCCAGTGAAGTGCAACAGGATCTACCAGATCATGTGGGCCAACAACGGCGATGCCATCAGCCGCCAGTACGCGGGCACCGCCGCCCTCAAGGTACCGCCACTGCCCCTGCTCTCAGGACGGGGGGAGGCTGGCACAGCTTGGTGTGCTCTGGGATACTCTCCTGTATGTGCAGCAAAGCCCACAGCTGTGCCTGGGTCTGTGTGGAGACCTGTGAGGCCTCGCAGCAGAGTGCTCTGTCACTCGGGGTGAGGGGCACTGTGCCTGCCCGCTGTGCTGGGCACTGCTGGCTGCCCTCAGCTGCACCCCTCCTGTCTGCAGCACAGCTGAGAGCAGGACAGCCATCAAACACTGCCCCCAGGTAAATTATGGCATGGCTGCAGCACTCCTGAGCAGTCACAGTGCTTCAGAAATGCTCGGAAGATCACAGTATGTAGCTAGTGGGGTGATACTAATTACCCATGCTTTCTAAAGAATTAATTAGTTGTAATGCTCTTTGCCAAGATCAGGATTGAAACTCCTTACTTTTTACTCCTGCTGCTTTGAAAAGTCACAGAATTTGAGGTACTTGCTGTGTGTTTAGTCACTGGTGGAACACATTTTTAGTATTCTTTGTATTTGGCATGAGAAAAATGATTGTGGTGGAAATGCTTCTGAAATCCCTCTTTAAATATCTCTACTGAATTTGATTAGTTTATTAATTTTAAAAATAGTAAAAACCAGCCTGACATGCTTGTCTTCATTATGTATATTTAATTTTAAATCTGAAGCATAGACCTCCATTTATAGATCTAGATTTTCAGGCCTTCTGTTTGATGATTTCTCTAATTGCCATTGAGGTTCATGAATTAAATTCTTTTTAATTGGGGTACTTCTTTCAGTTTGAAAGTGAAACCCACTTGAAATGTTCCTCAGAGTAGCTGACATGGCTTTTAGAACTGCTTTGTGCCAGTGTTCAGAGTGTCTCTGAAAATAGAACCCTCTAATGAAGTGCAACTACCAAAACAGCTTTTTATTTAAATTCTAAGCCTTCTGTGGCCCAGAAACTGGCTTTTGTTTCTGAGGTTGGGAGGGTATGTACTGTTCTCCTTTGGGATGTTCTGCTTGTCCTGTTCTGGTAGCAAAAACATAAAACCTTGTTTGAGTGAGCTGCAGTCTCTCTGCTGTTCCAGTGGTGTTCCTGCTAGGTTAAAGGCCAAAAATAAAGGGCATTTTTGGGGTATTCAAGCATCACAGTGACTGACCTCTTGAATGCTCTGCTTTAATGTTATCTGATGTGCACGTCCCAATTTCTGTCAATGCCACAAGCCAGATGCCCTTTGAAAAATCGGTATTTTCAACTTCTCTATGAAAGAGCTGCTTGTGGATAATTTCTGAGCTGTCACCTGTTCATCTCTGAGTCTCAGAATGCCAAAGCTCTGTGAGCTGAGCCTGCTGCTTCCAAGATGCATCTGGGCATGACGTGCATGTTCTGTGTGACAGGGGGACTTCACCAGGACCGGGGAAAGGAAGCTGGCAGGGGTGATGAAGGATGGAGTGAATTCTGCCAACAGATACTACCTGAACCGTTTCAGGGATGCCTACAGGCAAGCAGTCATAGGTAAGAGTACAACTGCAACTAAGCTGAGCTGTGCTATTTAGAAGAGTTTATTAAAATCATCTTGGCTTTATCTTCTGACTGATTTTTTTTTCCGCATCCTGAAGCTTAAAAGCACCTTGGGTGTGTGTAATGTTCATGTCTGTGTGATGGGCCATAAGGAACAGTGATTCTCCATTTGGAGATCAAACAGCCCTCACTTCAGAGGGTTTGCATGCAGTGTGACTCATTGTGGAATTTGCCCCTAACTTTGTTTTAGCATGTAAATGTCTTTGTGTCTCTTTTTATTAGACTAAATTAAATTTATGTAGCTGGTGTCTCTTAAAATGTTTTTCACTGAAAGAAGTGTAAAACCTCCTGAGGCAACACTGTGTTCAGAAAGACCATGAAGAGCATCATCAGTAAATATGAAACATTTGGAAGGAATTTGCTGTCTATCCCTTCTAACTTCCTTTCCTGTTTGGTATTTTATGGGTTTCACTTAGATTTGATGCAGGGCATCCCTGTGACAGAGGATCTGTACTCCATATTTACCAAAGAGAAGGAACACGAAGCCCTGCACAAGGAGAACCTGAGGAGCCACCAGGAGCTGATCAGCCAGCTGCTGCAGAGCTACATGAAGCTGCTCTTGCCAGAGGATGAAAAATTCCATGGAGGTTGGGCACTTATTGACTGCGACCCAAGGTGTGTGAACGGTCAGAATGGCTCAGCTGCTGCTCTGCCATGCCTCTCGCTGCTGATGGGAAATGATTGTGGTGGCTGGGCTAGCACAGCACAACACAGAATGATCAAGTCCTTGGAGGGTCTGAATACTTGCAGTTGTAGAAGAAAAGCTCCTCTCAAATGTGCTTTTCTCAAAGTGCCATAAAAGTGGTGCACCTTTGGAACATCATGTGGAAATGCCTGCAGTCAGTTCATGTTGCCAGAATTGGAAGTACCACAGAGGGAACTTCTAAGCACCCTTGGTTCTAGAAGGGGCTGTTTGAGGAGCTGCTGTTCCTTATTGCTGCATAGAGAAAGTGTGGCCTGACTTTGGAGGCAGATTACATTCTTGGGGCATGAGTCAGCAGTAGGACAGTCTGGATTTCTCTTTGTGAACAGTGGGCATGAACTAACTCTCCCCTCCTTAGCGAGTTCAGAGTTCACTAGCTTGTAAAAGAGAAACAGTGCTGAGATCCTCTGCAGGTTAAACTTCAGCATCTAAAAATAGCAGGGCAGGTTGTTCTGACAGCTATTCAGGGCACAGACTCATCACCTTCACTCAGTCTGAGGTATTTTTCCATATATCTGCTGGCATTTGTAATAGCTTGAGGGTTTTCTGTTTATTTTTGGGCCTTCTGCTGACCTATTTGAGCTATGAGGCAACTTCAGGTTTAGGAGAGAGTGTTGCTTACCTGGATCCACTTCTTGTAGGTGATCACACTTGGGCTTGGGAAGTGGCCACCCAACAACTGACCCACCTGCCTGGGTTTTCCAGTGACTCTGGGCAGGCAGCAGCAGCCCACGAGATAATGTGCCGTGTTTAACAAGTGCTGAATTCTAAAGGAGTGTCCCCAAACTACACCGGGCATGGGTTACACAGCTCTGCAAATAAAACCTTGTCCCCTCTGTTTGTTTTTCTTCCTCTCCTCAGCCTCATTGATGCCACTCACAGGGACGTGGATGTTCTGCTGTTACTTTCCAACTCTGCCTACTACGTGGCCTAGTAAGTCCCTGCTCTCCCTGTGTGGGTTATTTCTGGGAGCTTGGATTTGGATCAGCAGGAGGCATCAAATTCTGCTTCTTTTCTCTTAGTTATGACGATGAAGTCGACAAGGTGAATCAGTACCAAAGGCTGGGCCTTGAAGCTCTGGAAAAAATAGAAATAGGTAAGAAAATTAGTCACACTGTGTCATTTTTGAATGCTCTGAACAATAGCTGAGCCCTCATCAAAGCATCCTGCAGATGCATTGAGGCAGCAAGCCTTGATGTGTGGCACAAATGCTGGGCAGTCCACCAGGGCTGGAGATGGCCTTTCTTGCTCATGACAGGTGCCAGAGTTATCTGTTCCCTCCCAGGAACGGCTTTTGCTGCTGTTAGAAATGGAAACTTTGATCACTGCCAGGATTCTAAAGTTTTCCCTCTTTCAAACTCTTAAAAGAACCACGGAATCATCAAAACCAATTTCATTATTTATCAAACAACTTGATCAACTTCTGTAATGAGTCACAGGTTTGTGCATTCAGTGCTCTCTTTCTTTGATCCAAAAGCAGCACCTGGCTGGGAATTGTACTTTAAATCTGTTCCATAGGTTTTTAAAACTTCTTTCTCAAGGCTTGATAACAAACAAGCTGCTACAAAATCACCTTGTTATGCTCATTTAACTTGCCTATAGAATGTACCATCTGCAGGCTAAATCCAGCATTTGCTGCTGAAAGCAATAAAGATGGGATGTCTTTGACTCTTTGCAGATGAAAAAGATTGTTCTAGTTGGAGAGAAGAAATTGTGTGGCCTCCTGATAGAGTTTAACCCTCCATTGCACAATAGGCAGTGATTTCATCATCTCCTGACTGTAACTGTCCCTGTCCCTGTGCAGTTTGCAAGAGTTCAGTGGCAAGGGCTCTTACACAGCATGTGGAGGTTTGTAACACATCCTGATGCACAGGATACAGAAACACCTTCATCTACAGCTTGTTTGCTGCTGTAGATGCAAGCAGTGCACTGAAGAGAACTGACAGCTTCATTGCATCCACCTGGTAGAAATGTGTCAGCCTTCCCTGTAATCCTTGCCAGAGCATTCCCTAAAAAACCACGGCATGCAGGTGGTGTTTGAAAGGGTGATGTGTTGTAAACCATCAGGCTGGGCTGTACTGGACACACAGAGAGTCTGTGCTGATTGTTCAGGCAGAGTCTCTGCAGGGTCTCTTCAGGGTCTGGTTGAAGATGTCTAATCTGACTTCTCTCTCAGGGTCTGGTTGAAGATGTCTAATCTGACTTCTCTCTCAGGGTCTGGTTGAAGATGTCTAATCTGATTTCTCTCTCAGGGTCTGGTTGAAGATGTCTAATCTGATTTCTCTCTCAGGGTCTGGTTGTAGATGTCTAACCTGATTTCTCTCTCAGGGTCTGGTTGAAGATGTCTAATCTGATTTCTCTCTCAGGGCCCGAGCCTACTCTCTTTGGCAAACCCAAGTTCTCCTGCATGAGGCTGCATTACAAGTACAAAGAGCTGAGTGGGTATTTTCACACCCTCAGAGCTGTGGTGAGAAACCCAGAAGAAGATGGAAAAGGTTTGTTTTCCTGTGGAAAAGCTTTAGACATAAAAGTGTGTTTGGTATTCCACTGTTTGTCCAGGAAACACTTGTTCCATGGCCCCTAAAACCTACCCTTCTGCAGAAGTGACTCTGATACAATCCAGTTGGGCAGGGTGGGAACCATAAAAACCCCTCTGTTTGGCTTCCTGAGTGAACATGTGGATGTTACTGTTTGAATAGAAAGAAAAATGAGTTCCAAATGCAGCTTTAAAGCAAAATGTCTCTCTAGAACTAGAGACATTTCCCTGTCCATTTACTGCTCCAAAACCTTCTAAAATGAAGTTAAAATTAGCTCCTAAAAGAGCTGAAGAAATTGATTTCTTTAGTGAAATCAGTGTCTGGAAATGTTCTTGCTTGTTGTTTAACTAAATTAAATGACCACTAATAAGGGAAAAAAAATATCACTTCTTACCTGGAGCACTGATTTTTGTCAGCAAGGATTAGAATAAATATAATTGCTTCTCTTCTTCCCACAAATGAAGCAGTGTGGCAGTGATTCACTTAAAACCCAGCATTTAGGGATCAAGGAGAGTCTCTTCTTTAAGCTTATTTGAAAGCTCGAAATCTGAACTGCAACTCGTAGGGTGAAAGGAAAAAAAACCCTCCAAAAACCCAAACAAACTTAATTGTGTTAAAAGTAGACTTCTTTCTTTGTAGATTGTGGAATGTGGGATTTTAGGGGTGTTTTGAAGGGTCTGACAGGCTGCTGCTTGGATTTCAGACACTCTCCAGTGCATTGCAGAGATGCTGAGAATCACAAAGCAGGCGATGGGGTTGGATGTGCCCATCATTGAGAAGAAGCTGGAAAGGTGAGTCCATAAAGGATGGGAACCTCCTGTATCCACTTCTGCTCTTCCCAGGGGCAAAGCACAGTGTGGGATGGCTGCAGGAAATGTCTGACCTGTGTGTGGGGCTGAGGTGACATTTCCCTGCGCTGCTCCCAGTGACAGCAGCAAAAGGTGCAGGCCAGAACAGCGCTTTGTGTGTGTGCTCATGGACACAGCTGTAAAGAACAGACTGCAGACCACATGCTCAGCCTGGGAGCTGTGAACCTGCTCCTGTTGAACCCTTCAAGTGCCATCTCTCGCATTATTTTGGACACTTCCAGTTCAGGCTGTGTGAACTGCTAGAAATGTGTTGAGTACAGCATACACAAAGCCAGGGTTACAAAAATAGAGAATTCAAATCTCTTTTCTTCTAAAATTAAAGTGCCTGCAGAAAGTGGCTGTTCCTCGTTTGGTTACTGTTCTGTATCAACCCTCCTTTTTTTGTTGGTTTGAGCTTGATTAGCTTATATGGTACAATATTATGTAAGGAAAGGATTAATTTCCTTTATTTATGTGAGGAAAGAATAACCTAGTAACTCAGTGTCCATCTCTGCTGTGGAAATAGACTGGAAATCAGTGAATACTTGGTGTTTATAAAAATGACTGCTTTGGCTGTACATTAGAAATCCAGTTTTCTCTTGTAGGAGGAGCAGTAAACCCCACGAGGACATCATTGGCATTCGCTCTCAGAACAGAGGCTCCCTGGCCCAGGGCAAGAACTATTTGCTGAGCAAGTTCTCCTCCCTCAATCAGAAAGTGAAGCAAACCAAATCCAACGTAAACATCGGCAACCTTCGCAAGCTGGGCAGCTTCGCTAAACCAGAAGTGAAAGTCAATTTTTTGAAGCCAAACTTGAAAGTGAATCTCTGGAAATCAGACAGTAGCCTTGAAACTCTGGAGAACCCAGGGGCAGATCCCAAAGCCCAGACCGAATCTGACACAGAGGGCTCAGATAACGACTCATTCCATTCCGACGACTTCCTGACTAATTCCAAGTCGGACGAGGACAACCAGCTCACGGACTCCCTGGAGAACATCGGTCCCACGGACTACGTGCTGCCCAGCTGCGGCATCCTGGCCTCGGCCCCGCGCCTGGCCAGCCGCTCGCAGTCCCTGAGCGGGCCGGACAGCGCCGGGCCCGAGGGGCAGGGCTCGCAGGCGGGGCAGGGATCGCAGGCGGGGCAGGGCTCCCAGCCTGGCCGCTCCCACTGCCAGGACGAGGACACGGCCGCGCCCTCTGGTGCCAGCGCGCACGGGGAGCTCCCCAAGCCCATCGATGTGTACTGCCAGAGGTTCGTGCAGGATGCCCAGAGCAAGGGCTCGGATGGTCTGGAGGCCCAGGCTGGTTCTCAGGAGCCCCCTCGCCCCTCGGCACAAAGCAGCAATAACGCGGCCCAAAGCACGGCTGAAGCTGTGGGGGACGTCCCTTCCCGGCCCTCCAAGCTGGATTTCCGCTCTGCTGAGCCCAGTCCTCAGCTCCTGGCTGTGGGTGGGACCGACTGCGGTAAATCCCACAGGAGCCCCGGCTCTGTGTGTGGGAACCCCGAGCCAGGACTCCACCCCACTCCCTCTCCCGCCGAGGGTGGCAGCAGGGCCGTGTCCCCCTTCGCCAAGATCCGCAGCTCCATGGTCCAGGTTGCAAACATCACCCAGGCAGGACTGACTCAAGGGATCAACTTTGCCGTGGCAAAGGTCCAGAAGAGCCCTGCGGAACCAGAAGCTTTAAATGAAATCAAGCAAAAAGAACTGAGGGAAATGTTTACGCAATGCCAGACCCGGATAATTCAGATCTAGTTGCTGATTCAGGAAGTGTTCTTCTGGTTGTGGCTCTCAATAAAGTGCTACAAAAACACGATGGCAGGACTTGTGGTGGCAAGAACAGCTACTGGATACTGGGATCCATAAGAGGTAACTTGTTTACAGGCATTGAGAGATGCAGATGGATTTGGTTGTGACCAAGCTGCAGAATTCCCTCCTGAGGTGAGACACAAGGGTGAACCCCCCATTTAAACAGGTAGCTTAGACACTGGGACTCAGTAAGCATGCTGTCTATCTTAGATGTGTTGCACAGTTATTTTTTGGAGACTAATTTTGTAGCTCTTCTGAATTATGTAGAAAGTATTTATACTACAAAGGTGATACTGCACTTCTCTGACCTTACTTACCTTGCACTACACCAGCAAAATAACCTACCCGTAAATGACATTTTCTTTATTTTTGGACTAGAGTTTTTACTTGTTTTCATTGAGGTTTTAGATGCAGCTTTCTCTGAATTGTGCCTCTACAACGGGAACCGATGAGTTTTTGTTGAATTTAAATACTTTACCCAGAAAGTGAGATTTCTTTGCTATCCTTTTCTTTCCACACATCCTGGAACACTTTCATTAAAGACCCAATCTGAACTATCCATGATCCTGCAGTGCAGATTTCTTCTGCAGATTGGTTCTTTTTTTCCTCCCTTGAGGTGAGGGGAAATGAAGCAAATGCCCTTGAGCTGTTTTGCCCACGTTAAAGCAATTCTTATTTCCTCTTTTTCTGAATTCCAAACTCTGCCAGTTCGCTCTAATTTTCTGTGTCTGTTAAAGCAAGACAAGACACCTGCCCTTCAGGCCTTGTGTCCCTCTTGACACTGTTCCAACTGCCAAGTCCAGACAACATCTGAAGCAGCAGGCAGGGTCCTGCTTCCATAACCAGTGCTGCATTAGAGCAGAGTTGTGAGCATCCACTCCAGACCAAACTCATTCCCTGCTGCAGCTCTGCAGGATAAAGCTGAGCATCAACTCCTGCTGGGATGAAAACTCCCCTCCTCTGTGTGTGTCAAAATCCAGCCCCATGCTCTTTCCCAGACATGCCTTGCCCTGCCCTGCCAGGCAGGGCCTCCCTGTGCTGTGGTTTGTGACTGTAACACCCCCAGCCCCAGTGCCTCTGTCTCATCCCTGTGCTGTAGATAATCTGCACGTGGTGTCCCCACAGCCTCCTGTCCTGGGGGAGGGGAGTTCTGTGTCTTAGGAGGTGTAGTGTGTCTGAAACGACTTATCATCTAACCCTGACAGCCTGAAACTTTGATAAACAAATTTATTTATTTTATTAAAGTGATGTGGGTTTGGGTTTTTTTTTTTTGAGTGTCTATACTTGTGGCGATATTTAAAATTAAACTACTGCTGTATTTTAATGTGAGCAATATACATGAGATATTTTAATAAAAAAAGCGCAATCAAAGGCTGGGTTTGGTATGTGGTGTTGAGGGATGTGCTCCAGGGCTGGGGGTTGTCAGGAGTCACAGAGTGGCTGCAGTTGGGAGTGCTGGAGGGCATCATCCCCCTGCTCAAGCAGGACCACCCGAACTGGACTTCAGCGATCACCCAGTGCCACCCCTGTCCTGGGCAGGGACACCTTCCACTGTCCCAGCTTGCTCCAAGCCTCATCCAGCCTGGCCTTGGACACTTCCAGGGATCCAGGAGCAGCCACAGCTGCTCTGGGCATCCTGTGCCAGGGCCTGCCCACCCTCACAGCCAGGAATTCCTTCCCAATATCCCACCCAACCCTGCCCTCTGTGAGTTTAAAGCCATTCCCTCTTGTCCTCTCACAATCCCTCCTTCCAGCTTATGAACTATCCCCTATTTACACATGGAATCCTGGAGATGGCAACATGCACAGAACCATCCTCTAAGCCCATCTTACAGCTCTGCATTCCAGCCCTGCTGCCTTTGGAAGAGACACTTCATTTCCTTCCTGGATTTGCTCAGGTGCTTCACTTCACAGCACAAGGCAGATGAAGCCATGAATATTCATTTAGTGATTAAAAAAGGAATAAGCTTTAAGTAAGTGTTTTGAAAGGGCATCAAACTTGGCTCAAGTTTAGGACACACTAATATTATGTTTCATAATACTCTTTGTGCAGAGACAAAATGTGCAGCCTGGCTGTACAGCAACCCCCTCATAATTCCCCCAGTGCTGCTGGGGGACAAGGAAGGTATGGTTTGGACAAGGATGTGTCATCATTCTCCAGTCAATGTGGTTTTTTTTTAAGAAGTTGTGCCAAAATAAAGCTCATCAGAGATATTTGAGAGGTGAGACCTGTTCTGCTCTAAGCACAACAAAGATGTATTTCATAGCTGACCTGGTCAGGGCTGAGATCAAACCACTTCTCTGTCCCCCGGTGTGATCCCCATTGCCTCAGCTCACAGCAGCCAGGGCTCCATGCTGAAGTCAGCACCTCCTGCAGCTGCAGCTGCCGGCCAGCTGAGAGCTCTGAGCCTCCCAGTCCAGCCTTCTGGAATTGCAGCACAGATGAACCCCAGGACAAAGCCCAGCACAGCTGTGGACCAAGGGCTCGGGGTTACATTTTCTCATTAGGAAAGGAAATAAGTTTATGCAACTTCAGTATTAAAGTTTAATATCAAACAATTTGCTCATTGTTACCAATTTTCAATTACAAAACAGGGTCCAAAAAAATTCCATAAAATATGCTGAAGTGGCTGAACAGAGTTAAGCGTGTTCAGGCTGCGAGGGTAAATATCCATAACTTTTTGGTATAAATTATCTACAAAAACTGGTATAAACAATATTCCAATCTTAGTCTGGGCTCCATCTAGGATTAGACGAGTTTTCAAGGTGTTAAAGTTCGTTGCCATTGACACATTTCTGCTGCTGCAGCCTGGCTTTGCGCTGGGCCTCCAGCTGTTTGGCTCGCAGCCACCTCTCCCTCGACAGCGTCGTCTGCCCCGCGCTGAGCGACAGGAACCTGGGGGGACACACAGGGGTGGGTCAGGGCAGGGACAAACCTGCACATCCCACCCCACACAAAGGCAAAGGCAGGGAAAAAAGGCAAATTTAACAGTAGGGTTGACTTTGAAATCTCTAAGTTGTAACTTCCAAGAGCTCCAAACCAACCACTGCGCCTGAAGACGCTTCTCTAGGATTAAATTTTGTTCCCAACTTGGCTATAAGAAGTTAAAAATGTTTACTTTTTTTACTCTAAATTCAGTTGATAACATCACACCAAAAAGGAAATATAATTAACAAGCCTTTTTTCATCTGCAACTTTTAATACCTACAGTATTATTTTTCATTAGATGCTGAGGGGTTTTTTAGACATTATGGACAAACATTTTAGAAAACCTACAAACCAGCACAGTAAGTTTTCCCTCAATGGGAGCTTTTCATGGTTTGACTCCTTTTTTTTTTGGAAACAGACACTGCAAAATTTGTTACTTGTTTTACTTGAGTGAAATTTTGTAACTTTCCCAAAGCAGAGTAACAAAAAAACACTCAAGAGCAATAGAGTAATTTCAACTAACAATAAAAAAGCCACTGCAGGTTTCTCAAGGCAGTATGTTTTCCTTGCAGTATCCTAGAAGTCTCCAGCTGCAGACTGAGCGTGCAGCTGCAAAGAGCAGCTCTGTGGGAAGCCTCAGGCAGGACAAGCAGCAGCACCCACCTCGCCACGAGCAGTGTCTTGTGCAGGTCGTCGGCCGTGATGCTCTCGGGGTCGTTCTTGCGCATCTCCACAAAGTCCTCTTCCACTGCCTGTGCACGGCCAGGAGTTAGGAGAAAACACAACCCCAAGGAGAGAGGAGCTGGCAAGGAGCTCAACACCTCAACTGCCTTTACATCACATTCTCATCTTGGAACAGAACTGGTTACATGGAAGTTACATGTACTGTTTCTTGTTTGTACTATACTCATTTCAGTGGATGCTTTACAAATCCCTGACATGAAAACACTTCTGGTTTGTTTTTAGAATACCTGAAGGAGATTCACTGACAGGGAGAGCAATGGGAAAGTACAGGAACAGTCTATTAAGGTGCTTTCTATCCAACTATGCAGCTGAGAATGTGTTAGTGGAGTCTTCCCTACCTTGGTCACCTCATCAGATATGCTGTAGTCCAGCAGCCTCAGCAAACTCAGGTAAATTCGGAATTTGTTGAGCACAGATGGGAGCACTGCTGTCAGGAGGCTGCTCATGTACTCCTCCATGTTTGGTGGGATTATCTGGGGTTGTAGGTGGACTTGGCAATCTGACTGGAAGATAAAATCACACACCATCTCTTGCCACATCCCATTGTTTTCTATTCCCAAACCAATTTACTCCCAAAGCCAGCAGAAGTCCCTACTGTCCAGAATTAAGGCCAGACAGTTCTTTGAGTGTTCCCCTGCTCCCAGCATGCAGCCTCACTGAAGCAGCAGCCAGCTTCACTCAGGCAGGGGAGCAAAGGCTCAGCTGATGGAGCTGGAGTGCAGAGATCAGCTGTTTGCTAGCCTAGGCTCCCCCAGGGGCAGTGCCAGCTCTGGGGCTCTGCTCCTGTGCCACCCCCTCAGCCCCTGCTCTGCCCCTCCCTGGCACTGGCACTGCCTGACACCCCTGTTCTCCGAGGAGGAGGCAGCAACACTGCCAGTGCCACACAGGCCCTGCCACAGGGCAGGGGTTGTCTGCCCTGGGCCCTGGCAGGGCTGCTCCAGGCAGGCAGTGCCACCTGCATTCCCAATCCCAGAGCATTCCCTGCTCCCGTACCGGCAGCAGGGAGCGGCCCTCCGAGGTGATGAGCACATTAATGTTGCAGGGGAATTCCATCCGGTGGTAACTGAAGTCATAATCCACCTTCTGCCAGGTGATCAGATTGCCCAGCGCCGTCACGTTGTGGACACCTGCAACAGTGGATAACTGCAACCTCCAAGAGTTCCAAACCAACTACTGCATCTGAAAACACTTCTCTAGGATTAACTTTTGTTCCCAACTTTGCTATAAGAAGTTAAAAATGTTTACTTTTTTTTAACTCCAAATTCAGTAGATAACATCACATCAAAAAGGAAATAAAATTAACAAGCTTTTTTTCATCTGCAACTTTTAATACCTACAATATTATTTTTCATTAGATGCTGAGGTTTGTTTTAGACATTATGGACAAACATTTTAGAAAACCTACAAACCAGCACAGTAAGTTTTCCTCAATGGGAGCTTTTCAGGTTTTGATTTCTTTTTTTGGAAACAGACAATGTAAATTTGTTACTTGTTTTAGTTGAGTGAAATTTTGTAACTTCCCTAAAGCAGAGTAACAAAAAACCACTGAAGACTCAAGAGCAATAGAATAATTTCAATTAATCATTTATAAAAGCGGTAATTTAAAAAAACCAGAGCAGGTTTCTCAAGAGAGCATTTTTTATTTTAAAAGGAAGTCACTTGCAGTGCTTTCTTTAACAGAATCACAGAATGTCCTGAGCTGGAGGGGACCCCCAAGGATCAGTGAAGTCCAACTCCAGGCCCTGCAGAGCTCAGCCCAGGGGCACCACAGGTACCTGCACTGTGCTTCTCCACTCACTGAACTTTCAGTAAGTGCAACTCACCTTTTATGTAAGTTAGAATGAAATAGATTTAATTAATTTATGTCTAAAGCTCTGCAGAAAGAACATTACATCAGCTTCTAAGATAGAACCATCCCTTTTTGCACACAGTAATAGCAATCTTTTAATTTCCAGTTCTTGGCTGGGCTCTCAGGGGATGGTTTCCATACGTACAGGAAAAGGACAGAGCATAAGGAAGCAGCACATGCTTCCCACTTCAAACATTACCACAGCAAACTGAAAGGCCATTCTAATTAATCAGAGTTATTTGGGTACTGAGGAATTACCCACATTTGTCCTAAGCTGACTGAGGAGGCTGCAGGTTGCAGGAAGCTTGTTCATAGCACTGAAATGAGGACAGTTTTGTAAGACCATCACCACCGGCACACAATCAGCATCACTCTTAAAACACAGCAACTTCTAACCTGCCAGCTGAGATTCCAAATGCCAAGAAGTGCCTACCTGTTGTGTCGAGCTGTCCTTGCTCCAGCTGGGTCTCATCCAGCACCAGGGAGGTGTTGCTGGCCAGCTGCAGCACGCCCGTGACCAGGCGGTTGGCGGCGTAGTCCTTGTGCGGGATGAAGCGCGAGTGGTTCATGTTCTCGATGGTCATCTGCAGCCGGTGGGACTGCAACGGCAGCACAGCAGCACTCCACACTGCCCACAGCAGCACTCCACACTGCCCACAGCAGCACTCCACACTGCCCACAGCAGCACTCCACACTGCCCACAGCAGCACTCCACACTGCCCACAGCAGCACTCCACACTGCCCACAGCAGCACTCCACACTGCCCACAGCAGCACTCCACACTGCCCACAGCAGCACTCCACACTGCCCACAGCAGCACTCCACACTGCCCACAGCAGCACTCCACAC